TCAGAGGGTAATATTCCATCAATTGCGCAATCAGGGTGGTCCACCACAATCATATTCCAACCCAATACGTCCAAATCCCCCAACTAATCATCAATATTTTTCCTCTTTGAGCGCTTAATTTTAACATTAAATCCGGGCCGTAGCTTACACGATGTCTAAGTCTAACTCCATAAATTAATTCATACCTGCATCAGCATCACATTAGGCATAGGACCCATCGGTGGTTAGGACAGACGTGTAATACCAAGGAACAAGAATCAGTTTCCAAGGCAGCCAGAAGAGAGAGTTTGAGAAGTCCAACTTTGGAGTTCGTCTTCCTCGTATCAGGCATGGGATCTGAGATCTCGAAGCAGATCCAGAGAAGGAAGGATGTGCTGCGAGAGGCCAAAGTCCTGAGGGATCTCATCGAAACCTGTGGGACGCAATTCCCCGGTTGCGACTACTGCTGTTTGGATAGGAAGAACTGGATGAACGGTCTCGATCCCGAAAAGCTTCCTCTTTTCAAGATTGTCTGGCCAGGAACTCATGATTCCGCGACCAACAAGATTGGAATCCGGTTCATGTCTCGTCCTTTTGCCCAATGCCAATCGCTAAGTATCTATGATCAGCTCGTGGGAGGCACTCGGGTGTTTGATATTCGAGTCCAGGAGGATCGCCGGGTATGCCACGGAATTTTAGCGACTTATAGTGTAGATGTCGTCCTGAACGACGTCAAGAAGTTTTTAGGTGAGACAAAGTCCGAGATTATAATACTAGAAGTCCGAACTGAGTTTGGTCATCAGGACCCGCCTGCGTTTGATCAGTACTTGGTGGATCAGCTTGGGGAGTACCTGATCGGCCAGGATGAATGTGTTTTTTGTAAGACGATTGCGGATTTGTTGCCGAAGAGAGTGATTTGTGTCTGGAAGCCTAGGAACTCGCCCAAACCACAGGCGGGAGGCCCATTGTGGAGTGAGGGATATCTGAAGGATGACTGGATCAATACCGATTTACCATCAACCAAGTTCGATGGCAATATGAAGCATTTAGGTGAGCAGCCGCCAGCTTCCACGAGGAAATACTTTTACAGGGTCGAGAACACAGTAACACCGCAAGCGGACAATCCGGTTGTGTGTGTCAAGCCGGTCACTAATCGCATTCATGGATATGCTAGGCTATTTATATCTCGTTGCTTCTCTAAAGGGTTGACTGATAGGTTGCAGATCTTCTCGACGGACTTTATAGATGGAGATTTCATAGATGCTTGTGTTGGCCTTACATGTGCAAGGATTGAAGGGAAAGCCTAAACAGTGCCATTTTATGTGTTCAGTTGTCTCTGTGAAGCTGATTGTCCATTTGTCTCAGGTTCACTGTTGTACACTTGATAGTATAGACTCTTCGTTGTCCACGCAGATATTGACGGTCTGTTTTCAATAGGGTTGGAGTGTACTAATGTCAGTTACACTTGAAACTTATACAATGTCTTTCTGTATGTTAATTTAACTTTCAAAACTTGGGATGAATGCCTTAACTAAGTAAATCCCTCTGCTTTTTGAGTTTTCCTAGACTTGTCCTTGTTTTTCACGGTATTTCCCGTAAGAAATACAATTTCTAAACATTGGAAGACAGTTTTCAGGACAATGATTTCTACTGACGGCTATGAGCCTCCTTCTCAAGCTCAATTCCTTCTTTGTAAATGTCAAGGTGCTCAAATTATCATGCATGAACAAACTGAATCAGCTAAACTACCATGCAAATCACCACGTTCGTTTAATGAAGCACCAGATACCGTTGGAAGATTTTTAGTACCGGATAGAAGAAAAAAGAATTCTAGATGAGGCAACATCATGAAAGGGTTGAGACGAGTTCACAATATCGGTGTTGGTGGGAATCACTTCCTGGATTGGTGATGATCTGCATGGAGAATGGAAACAATCCCGTTGCTGATAGATTAAAGCAGCGTAGTTAGGTTGAGGACATGTCATAACAAAAAAGAACTAGGAATTCAATTCTGCATATTGAACGGTTTCAGATGAAGATCCTAAACCAGATGGAGAACAGAGAATATCGCCAGTAGATCAAGTCTTGAAAATTTATTGGGTTGGAGATTTGAGAATCCTGTTTGTATCAAGATTTATGGAACTTTTGATAAATGCATATACTGATGAAGGTCCTTTATTTCCGAAATTTGGAAACCTGATCCTTCATTGTGAAACAGCCCTGAAGTGAAAGCCCCTGCTTACAATGAATTTGGTTTCAGTACTTAAGTTGTTCTAATGACTACAAGAGTCCTTTGAATTGCGGACAAGCTGCAGTTTACAAGAATATCACAGTAAAGTGTTTCCTGAAAAGACGTTCTTCAAATAGGCAGACGGTGAAACAGAGAGCTTGTGCTGTCAATGTAGTTCTATCGATTGCCTCTCTCTGCACACTTTATAAAATGATGAGGGAAAGCTGGAATGAATGATCGTCCATCGACTCTCTCTAAATCAACGCATCCTAAGATACACTCAGAATGCAGCACCAAGTCTGTTGTCCAATATGTCCTAGCCATTTGCTCAAACACTGGGCATGGCAAGAGCAAGGACGTTAACACGGAAGCAGCAAAGTTTAATGAACGTGTACAGCCAAAAGCTAGGTTGCGCGAGTTGTTGATTACTTATGCTCATTCCCTCGCGATCCGATCCCTAAGGGCGCGAATGACAACATTTCTCTTTCCCGGCCCTATTTCTGGCTAGAAATTAAAAAATCTTCTCTTTCCCGGACGAGTTTCTGAGCAAAAAGTAGCGTTTGATAACGATACAAAATTTCTATTCCCGGAATAGAAATTCGTTTGATAATGACGCAAAATTTCTATTCTCGCCAGCCGGTGAGCTGCAGCGGCAGACGACCGACAAGTGGCAGTGGCAATGAGCGATGGCGGATGGCCAGCAGGCGATGGCGGATGGCTAGCGAGCGGCCGGCAAGCGGTAGTGGCAATGAGCAACAACGGCTGGCCAGTAAGCGATGGGTAGCAGGCAAGCGGCGATGGGGGCAGCAAGCGATAGTGGACGATCAGCCGGCGAAAGGCGGTGGCGAACAACGGCCAGCGAGTTGTGGCAACTGGTGACATCGGATGGCTGGTGAGCGACGGGCGGTGGCCGGGGGCCCCACAAGAGCGATGGGGGGCGGCGGGCGGCGGTAGATGGCTGGCTAGTGGCCGGCGGCGGCAGATGGCAGCGGGCGACTGCGGTGGATGGCCGGCTGACGAGCGGCGGCAAGCTACAGCGGCGACCAGTCGGAGAGCAGCGGCGGGTGACAACGAGTGGGCGGGAAGGGTGAGTAATAAAATAGAGTTGTTATTTCTGTTTCTGTTCCAAATCTATTTCTGTGCCAAAATTTATCTCAAAAATAAAAAAAATGAAATTATTTTACCAAATAGATTTTTATTCTAAACCTGTTCCCGAAAAAAAAATAGAAAAATAAGAAAACAGAATGGTTATCATACTTTTCAAATGAGCCGAGACCAAATAATTCGAGGGGGATCCATGATGGTACACTGGTCAGCATCAACAAGATTCAGGAATACTATATTGGTGGGAAAACCAAAGAACTTGCATAGAGGCTCCTGGTCGGAGTTTTTCAAAATGTATGTAGTTCTGCCTGTAGTAAAGAGTAAGTTAAGTTGCTCAAAACTTATTTTCACAACTTCACTGATTGTTTACACAAAAGCATAACCAACTCATTGTGATCAACATACGATCAAGGTTGGTCGATCAAAGAAGACTGATCGACAAAAGTGGTCCAAGCCACGGAACAATCGACAACTATAGACATGGATATCTATGCCTACGAAATAGAGTTATCAACAGTTACGTTGAATGGACATCTAAAAGTAGTCAAGAGCTATTAAGTGAAACTCATCGACAAAGCAAGCAAGACGCTAGCCATCTTGAAATTTGTCTAAAACTATTGAGGACAAGGGGAGAACAAGAGGATCAAGAGGTCAATTAAAGGCAAGGATACAGAGTGACGATTAAAGAACCCAAAGGCTTTAGAAGTTGTAACCGCTTGCGGATAAGATCGGAATCTCGGGAGTACGTTGTTACCGTACTTAGAATGGTAAACGCTAGCGAAGGGTTGTAATTAGTGGGCTATATAAGTGGTGGTGTGTAATCATGAAAAAAGAACATGAACACTAGGGATAATCGGTTTCAGGATGAATCGGTTCCCCATTTGAAACCGGGAGCCGGCCAGTACAAGTCCAGTTCCTTGTTCATGGAACTGGGAACCGACCCTGTCCACTCGATAATTGGACATGTCGGTCCCGGTCCAGTTCCCAGGTTATACCGAGACCGGTTGTGTGGAATTTTTTTTCCTTCTATAATAATACCTGCAACTAAAAAAGTAATTGTAGACACTGATAACATGTTCAATCTTCATCGTCAACCAAAATGATGTATGGCAACTTGTCTTCTTTTCCAATTAAGGTGCTTGTCTTTTACGACAAAAGGAACATATTTATAATGGAGGGGAACACGATTACGGGTGTTAATGAGGCCCAGGTTTTTCTAATGGGCCTTGTTGCACTACTGTCTGAATAATTTCCTGAATTATATTAGGAGGCTTGCATTTAAAAGGGATATTACACGAAAATCTTTGCCTAAAGCTGATATGATTTTGTTTTTTATTCCCCCGTCATAGAGAAAGAGAATTACTGTACTTACACGTCTTTACAAATTACACAAATCGAACCCTTATTATTGCTTGATCGAACGGTTAACCCTGGTTCCAAATTTTAGGAACCAAGAAGCACTTAGAATCGGCCGATGCAGTTCCTAGATATGACCTAGACTAGTACTCACTCCTAACAAACACATTCCTATTTTACTTTTTGCAGTTTATTAATATTATTGTCCTTTTATTTTCCATCATTTTTACTTCTAGTGTTTTATAGCAATATTCAAGGTTCAGAGTCACAAGCCTGTCGAGAAGGCCAACGGTGTCGTGAATCTCAAGTAAACTCGTGCAATGAGTGAGAATCAAGGACTCAAGATTGGGGAGCGCAGAGAAGTCAGGGGACTCTGTCAGGAATCCAGAACCATCAAAACTCATGTGCTTTGAGTTCTTAAAAATCTGTATAAGCAAAAACGACAAAAAGGGATCAGCTTGGCTACAAAAGTCATTGTTAAAATGAATGAAGAAAACTACAAAGAAGTAAGTTTTCAACCCTGTACCCTTGACCCAAATCCTTGATGTGGCTGTTTGGCATGAAGAGGCCTACAAGTTTCTTTGGATGAAAATTGGCTGGCAGAGACGGTAAGGGATATCCCTCCCAATCAACGCATCTCAAATTGTTGGAGAGATAGTCAAAGTCTCCTGATACATATGCATTATGAATTATGAGCACTCTGAACCTTCTCATCCTTTTGAAGGCTTTGGCATTCAAGTATACCTCTTCTGTTTCAGGCAAAACTAGTTTTATGGCTTCCACTTTATTTGTTCCCTGAAAAGCAAATTCATGGCTTAGTCAGAAGGTTCACCAGCATGCTGAAACCTACTCAACGAAATCAAATGCCATTCTGTTTGGTTTTCTCTAAGAAGAAATAGAACGGTTAATGACTGAAATAATGAGGATTTAGCATGAGAGACATACCAAATTTTCTGTCAGAACATCAATGATGTCTTCCGAGTACCATAATCGGCTGCGTTCACTAGGATTGTTCGTGGACTCTGTGCGTACAATTTCCCTCCCCATCTCTTGCGGTAAGTCATGCATTGACAACTTGTTGAGTTCAATACTTACTAAAGATTTGTCTAGTAGAACTCTAATTCTAATATCAGGAAAGAACTTACAAGCATCAGAGACTTTCGTCACATAATCTTGGTCATCCCCATTGAAGAAGCAAGCAATATCAAGAAAAATAGCTTTCTCAAGATCATCAAGACCGTCATAGCTAATTTTCAGTATTTCATTGTATTCTAGGTTAGGTACACTTTTCAACCTTGCTATTGCACTTTCCCATTCCCTCACATTCCTACCACACAAGAAAGAACCCAAAACAATGAGAGCCAAGGGAAGGCCTTTAGCGTAATCAAGTAGACTACATGTGAGATCCTTGAACTCTTCTGGAGGATTAGGTGATTTGAAGGCATTCCAACAAAAGAGCTTGTATGAGTCAATAAAGTTTAATTTCTTGACCTCGTGAAAGTGTTCTACTCCATGGGCTTCTAGCAAATGCTTGTCTCTGGTGGTGATGATGATTCTACTTCCCGAGCCAAACCCACTTTTGTCCCCCGCCAATTTCCTCAGCTGGTCCAGATGATCAATATCATCGATAACAATGAGGACCTTTTTGTAGCAAAGCCTCCAGCTTATCAAGTTTATTCCTCTATCAGCATTTCCCAACTTTATGTTTGAGTCCCCTAATATCTCGAAAAGGAGCATTTCTTGTACTTGAACTAAGCCATGCTGCCTGGAAACTTCCTTCACATTTGCCAGAAAGCTGCTACCTTCGAAGTCATCAGCATGTAAATTGTAAATGGCCTTGGCAACGGTGGATTTGCCTATGCCTCCAATTCCATAGAAGCCAATCATCCGAACATCGTCCAGACCAATTCCAAGAATTGGATTAATTCCATCTAGCGTGTCATCTATGCCAACCGGGTGAGTTGCAACATTCAAAGCGGGGCAATTCAGTTTACTCGAGACTTCTTGAACGATTGTCTGAACGAGCTTTGATTCAACCCTGCAAGTTCCAGTACATCAGCTCAGAAAAAGAAAAGGAAAAGGTCCCTTTGAACCAAGAACATAAAAGTAGTTAGTTTCAAGTTTCAGCAAGACTTACGGAAGACATGAAATAAAAATTTATAATAAAGATTCAATTGCAGCTTATTGCTACGTCAATATACTTTTGTCATATCGACATGACTATCAATCTGTACATGAGCAGGTTATATAGTAGTGGTAGAGAATCATTCTAATCTTCAGTACAAGGAGATAACTTTAAAAGGATCCACTTATATGTAGATTTCAACACGAAAATAATTATAAAACCTCCAGTATAGGAAAAAGTGTAGTTGATCCAACCTACTATGTCAAACTTAAAGAGAAAGGAAGTAGTGGTACCCATTTGAGAAGTGCCACCCAGCCATATTAGCCAAATCCTCAAGAGATTTCCTCCATTTCATGACCCTCTCAGAATCTTTTCCAAACTTGTCCTCATGTTTGGCTAGATAATCCCCTGTTTTGCCAGTTTGCTTTCGCAATTCAGAAGGATCCACCCTATAAAAGATTGGCCTGACCATGTGACCCTTTGTCTCTTTACACTCAAGAATCTTGACAAGCTCGTCCAAGCACCACCCTGAAGAAGCATAGTTTTCTGAGAACACGACAATGGAGATCCTGGATTCTTCAATCTTCTCCGAGAGCTCTGCAGAGATGCCCTGCCCTTTGGGAAGCTGGTCGTCCAGGAAAGTGTTGATCCCGTGACGGCACAAAGCATCGTAGAGGAAATTCGTGAAGCCTTCATAGGTGTCCTCGCCTCTAAAGCTCAAGAACACGTCATAGTTCCATCTTGGGGACATAGAGGAGGATGCCATTGGATGGTCAACCTAAAGGAGACATTTAGATGGTAGCAATCATGGGTTACACGATTGATGCAGATGGCAATATGAATGAAAGCAGGAACAAAGACAAGGGGACAAGAGAAATGGTGAATTTCAAGGAGCATTCTAATTATCACAGGATGCCGTGTATGACCATTGAACCCACTTGCTGTCCTATTTTTCCCTTTCTCTCTCCTCTCTCTCTCGGGAGAAAATATTCAGTGGTTTATTATCACCACGTCACATGCCCACGTGGTGTATATTTGCTCGCGTGGATCCATTAAAAAATCGGCACGTGGCATCTGACGTGGAGAGACACGGAGGAAGAGAAAGCCCTAATGGGAGGCTCTCTCTCCTCTGCACCCCTACTCCCGCTCAAAGAAGACCTGGGGAAGGCACGAGCATTAATTGCTATCCTCTCTCCTCGTTCTTTTTCAAGTTTGAATGAAATGTCTCTCCCTCACTTTCTGAAACTCTTCTCCTTCCAGATTGTTTCTCTCCCTCCTCCTTCGTCTTCGCTTGTGTTCTTTGCTTCCTCTTTCCGGCGAAAAGCGGACGGCCTGTCCCCTCGTGGCCGTCGGCTCCGCTACGTCGCCGTCGGCTCCGCTACATCGCCGTCGGCTCCGCCTCGTGGCCGTCGCTTCCGTCTCGTGGTTGTTGGCTCCGCCTTGTGGCCGTGGGCTCCACTCATTGCCGTCGGCTCCGCCTCGTCACCTCCGCCACGTGGCCGTCGGCTCCGCCATCGCGGACATGTTCAACAAATCTCAGTTGTTTCAGCGTTGAAGAGGTTGTCGAGTAGTCGGGGACTTTGACATCATGGATGTCACGCCATGGCCATTGGTGCTGCCAAGTGAACGAGGGTGAGGACAGCGAAGACAAAGGTGGTGGCGAAGGAGAGGACGAAGTTTGTGTTGCCGTTGAGCATGCGAAATGGAGCCTTGTAGCAGGCGTTTGCTTTTGTTTTTTTTTTTTTTGGTCAAACATTCCTTTTGTTGAGTTGTTGAGTTTTGTTGAAGAGGTTTTGCTTCTGTTCACGGGTTTGTACTAGATATGATTAGAACTGATGAGTTGTTGAGTTTTCTCTTCACCAAATGATGCATGTTTTCACTCCATTCCAAGCTCTATAGGATTGGCTAAACGAACCTATTAATCTCTACCTGACAAAAAATTTACTTCTCCAAAAATTTTTAGAGGTATAACCCACGATAAAGCTCCCCTAAAATCTCCCCGAAAGCAATCAATGTTGGCTGAAGAAGACCAAGCGATGAACTCGGAATTTAATCAACAAAATGGCAGGGAAAAATCCCACATATACACTTCACCATCTTCTATCACATGACTGCGGTCTTCCACCATTGTCATTTCAAGTTTCCAAGGGAGAAGCCAAACAACCCACCCACCATATCTTTAAAGCGTCTCCTTCATTTCCCCCATGAAATATCCCCATTGCAGTTATGGATTTCAAAAAGCTCCCATTGGCTTCCACCGAAAAGTAAGAGCCTTTCGTTTAGGAATACTAACACCGACCGAGCATGCACACCATCATGTGTTAGGAACACGCAAAACACGGAACTTTTCACTCGAGTTGGCAAAAGAGGAAGGAAAACGAAGTGCCCAACTTCTTGAGAACCACTTCTGGTCCGAAAGTTTGAAAATTTGAGCTCGATGCGCTTGGCTTGGGCAAGCTAGAGACAGAGAAGAGGGCATTGTGATCGGCCTTCTTCAACAAAATATGAAAGGAAGAACAATTTAGTGCCAAAAATATAGTTGCAAAACTGAAATCTTATTCAAATTGTACAAGGTACAGATTAAGGAAAAAATAAGGAAAACTAGTGATAAATTCTAGTGCTCCAAACCAGAAATAGAAGCAAAACCTCTTCAACAAAACTCAACAACTCAACTCCTCAACAAAATGAATGCCTGACCAAAAAAAAAAAACAAAAGCAAACGCCTGCTACAAGGCTCCATTTCGCATGCTCAACGGCAACACCAACTTCGTCCTCTGCTTCGCCACCACCTTTGTCTTCACTGTCCTCACCCTCGTTCGCTAGTAGCAACAACGGCCATGGCGTGACATTCATGATGTCAAAGTCCCCGACTACTCGACAACCTCTTCAACGCTGAAACAACTGAGATTCGTTGAACAACGTGTCCGTCGTTGCGGCGAGCATTGGAGTAGCAACAGACGCCGGAGCAGAGGGCCAAACTTGATCGAACACCTTGCGTGCATATTCAAGGCAATCCAAACCATGATAAACCCGGACAAGTTCCGCAGCCAAACTTGCTCATTGTAAGAGTCATTGACAAGATCTGAGCATGGACAAACTTGACTCCGATAATGTCCTTTGAGAACTCTCGCAGAAGAGACGAAAAACGACTAGCAGGAGCATCTCCGAGTGAAAGAGAATAGGATGAGAACGTAGAAGAAAAGGAAATCCTAGAGGGTATCTTCCAAATGAGATGAAGGATTTGGAACGCCGGAGCAGCAATGGATGCCGGAGCAGAGGGTCGGAGGAGAAAATTTTTAGATCGAAGAGGGAGATCCAAAATTTGAATTAAGGAGAGGGAGAGAGAGAAGGGCGTCCATTCTCAGAAAAGGAAAGAACGAGGGGAGGGAGAAAATAGCAATCAATGAAGAGAGTCTCGCATTTAATGCGAGGTGACTTGCTCAGTTTTCTTTGAGGCAATAGGTGCGCGGAGGAGAGAGTCTTCATGATAAGGCTTTCTCTTTCTCTCTTTCTCCACGTCAGACGCCACGTAGCGATTTCTTAATGGATCCACGCGAGAATATTTACACCACGTTGGCATATGACGTGGTGATTGTAAACCATGAATATTTTCTCCTCTCTCGGAGAGTCCACGCAAATCAGTCAGCTTTATAATGCAGTGGAGGGCACGGAGAAAAATATAAAGTGGATTATTCTGAGAAATCAGAATTTCATGTTCTGTGGTTAGAACAAACTAGATAGTATGCAGCCTTCACTAATCTTAACATTCAAAACAAGTTTCCACTGGAAAGCATGAGGATTGTTTCTCATCGCAAGTCAAAGTACATCCGTCTTGAATTAGCGAATGCATGCCAAGGAGTAAAATGGTAATGGAAAAACCGAAAATGGAAAATCCTCAACAGAGTTCTGTCAACATACCTACACACACATTTCTCCATCCTCTAAGGTTTGGTGTAAGTAACTATGTTAGATCTTTTCCTTTACTCTTGAAATTGGATTATTGTAGTTAACTGCAAAATGCCAAAGAAAGCTAGATATCTCTCTCTCTCTCTCTCTCTCTCTGGGTGTAAGCAGACCAAGGCAAACATTGTCATACTTGATGAACATGTGGATAGAAATAGCAATCGGCACATATAAAAGGAAAAAAAGCAATGATAACAGACGATAAGATGAGTGAAGTTGCTTTAAGAGGATCATAAACATGAACGAATTGGGATACTCACAAAAACCGGAGACTGGAGTTCAAGATTTCCGTCGGTCAAAACAATAGGGAATAACCGAAACTTTAAATTGATACCCTAAGCTCTGATGGAGTTCAAGATCTCATCTGTAAGCTGAGTGAAGTTGCTTCAAGAGGATCATAAACACAAAGGAATCACGATACTCGAAAAACCAGAGACTGGGGTTCAACATTTCCATCAGCCAAAACGATCCGGAGACGGAACATCCAAAGACTTTAAATGGATACCCTAAGCTCTGATGGAGTGCTCAACCAACAAGTGGTGCTCAACAAGTACATTCCGACTTGCTTCCTAACACTTCAAAGATTTGAAAACCTAGAGAGATGGTCTTATGCACATTGTATGAGACCAGATAAGGCAGTTTGAAACCTCTAGGATATTCTTGAGATCGCCGTGATAGAGCACCCCCGTAAGAGAAAACGGCAATGGACATGATAGGGCTCTGTTATACCGGTCCAAGAGCAACATTTTGGCATCGTACGTATTGTAAACAGAGTAGCCTAGATCCAGCAACAGCAAGTTCAATGATATCATCAAGGTAGCTAAGACATATATGAATCCCAAAGATCAAGATTACCTTATCAGGGTGACGATAAACCTTGTCCCGGAAGAGAAGGATGACCTCGGCTTGGTCGAGGACCTGGGCGAAGGCCACGGCCTCGTCCCGGGATTTGGCAACCCCGATGCTCTGGCACGCCTCGAGCAGCTCCTCGTACGCGATCACCTCCTTCTCTTCCATCCCGAGCTTCTTCTTCAGGGCCTCCACGTTCACCAGCCGCATCAGACTCTTGGCCTCCGCGAACGATATGGGATCCTTGTCTCCAGCCGAAGAAGGCAGCGGCGGCGACGAAGCCCCCCCTCCGTTCCTCACCGACTCGACGCACAGCGCCCTGCTCAGCAAACGGAAAACCGCCAGCGTCGGCGGCTTTGGCTGCTGCGGCGGTGGTGACACAGCGGAGCAAATGTGGTGGCCCCCGCCGTAGCTGGACCCGGAGGCCGCCGCGCCCAGGGCGTTCAGCCTCGGCTGATTACAGGACAGCAATCTCCTCCACATCTTCTTGCGGGCTCGACAACGCCTCAGGTGCTCGACGAAATGCTCCGGCGAAATTGATTTTCTCGTCGCGCGCGCCTCCAGATCCAGTTCCCTTGTTGGCAACATTGATTTTCGACCTTTTTTATAGAGATCGATATGCGCGTCTGGTCAAGCTTCGTGCGGTTTCGTTTGCATTTGTAAGCTTATTTCCAACTGTGCCCGGTTTTGATTGGTCTGAGATAATCGTTTGGCGGTTACTTTCTGCGTTCGCGCGGGGTGGCGGCGGCGGCTCGATCTCGGCCGTTCGATCGCGTGGATTGGTTGATCGGAGCCGTTAATTTTTGTTTCCATGCAGCGGATCGGTTCTTGAAGCATGCAACTGCGTGGAAACCGTACGTTGACGCGGTTGGTAGAATGTACAAAGATGCCATTTATATTGACTTTATTAGCTTAAATCCAAATTGAAAACCCCTAAGACAATGACTTGATAACATCACCAAAATAATATAGTCAATCGTGCTAATATAGCACGACCAATTAATAATTGGTTTGGACAGCTTTTGTCATTTCGGTCTATAAAGTCGTTGTCTTCTTATAAGTATCCTTTTGAGGTCATTTTCGCCTGTTAATTCTTTCCAATAGTATCGATTTTCCACGCGATATCAGATTGAAAGAGAGAGATGGCAAAGCTAAGTTCAACGGCAATGATGGTGGTGGCTCTTGCTCTGGTGGCCACGGCCGCGAACCTCGCCCATGCTGAGGCGGATAACCTTGAGAAGGTGGATGAGTGGTTCAATAGGCTTAGCAACGCCAAGCGCAAGACCACATGCCTCCACTTCTACTTCCATGACACGCTCTCGGGCAAGAACCCCACGGCGGTGGGCGTCACCGAGGCCACAATGACTAGGAAGTCCCCGACATCATTCGGGGCGATCAACATGATAGACAACCCACTAACCGAGGGGCCCAAGCCAGAGTCCCCCCTCATGGGCCGGGCTAAGGGGTTTTATGGCTTTGCCGGGCTCGAATTGCTGGGCCTACTCATGAACGTGAACCTCGTAGTCACGAGCCCCAAGTACAACAGCAGCACTCTGAGCATAATGGGCCACAACTCGGCACTAGAGATCTATAGGGAGATGCCCATCATCGGTGGGACCGGCTTTTTCCGGTTGGCGAGTGGAATCGCAACGGGCAAGACATAGTTTCTCAACCACACCACCGGGGATGCGGTAGATGAATATAATGTCATAGCTATGCATTACTAGACAGTACCCAGCAGACACTCATTGGACAAGTCACGGCTACTGTTGTAGTTCGTTTCTCCTTTTCTTTTTGACCTTTGGCTTTGCGGGATCCAAAGGTTATGGGGTAATCATATCGCTGTAGTTTGCGTGCGGATGAGTTGTTTCTGATTTGGTAATGCTCTACATGCTTTCTGATTAAATTGGACGGTATGGTATCTTCTGGTGTGACCTTAGGCGAAACTAAATTAGACTCAGGGTTTATCACTGGTCATTGATACAGTGACCTAACTGAAATTACGAAGAGAGGAGGTGATGTACAAGTCATGTACAGTTTTCGCCTTTCTGCAATAGAACTTGCTGAAAATGTCTGATGATTTTACCCACCTAATAATGCAATATAACTTTTAGTAGTTTAGCCCCTGAATTATATGAAAATGTTTAATGTTGTCTACGATCTTGAAGTGATGGAAGGACAATATTAAACATTTACATATAGTTTAAGAACTACATTGAACATGTACCCAAAGTCAGAGGATCTGATTGAATAAATTAAAAGTTTAAGAACCACATTGAACATTAGACTAAAGTTTAGGGATCATATTGCACATTGAGTCAAAGTTCAGGGATCATTTGTATCATTATCCCAATCAAATATGTAGATTATGTATATTGTCTATTTGATTTATTAGTCAAGTGTTATTCGAACTATCTTTTAGGTGATCCGAATATATGTATAATATATAGTGATCTCGGGTTGAACATTTTAGTAGTCCTTCGATTTTGAAGAAATGTAACATGCTGGTATTATTCTTTTTCTACATTCAAATTTTCCATTAAAATAAGTGAAATGAAATTACTGTGCCTTCAGATGCCCTGCATATGTAGAGATTGTATGCCTTTTGCTTACAATTCAAAGAGTGTCATTTACATCTGATCAAAAACTGATTGGTGTCAATTTCCAAATCCAAGACCGCAAAGACGATGTAAAGTCGGTACTAACGTGAAGATTGACTCGGCGGTCCGACGTGAAGCCTTTTGATTGTTAAAATGATTTGGTGCTATGACCGACTGATACCTGTTCTCACGTCTTGTCCATAGATATTGCAGATGCGTTCGATAACGTAGACAAAATGATGAAGTCTGTCGCTAGCGAAAAAGCACGACCAATTAGCGATTGATTTCGACAACTTTTGTTTCCTCTTTCTCTAAAGGTGCCTTCTTTTCATGAGTCTCCTTTTGAGTTCATTTTCGCCTATAAATTCCTTCCAATAGTATCCACTTTCCCAAACAATTTCAGGTAGAAAGAGAGAGATGGCAAAGCCAGCTTTAACGGCAACGGTGGTGGTGGTGGTGGCTGCTCTTGCTCTGGTGGCCACGGCCGCGACGCTCGCCCCTGCCGAGGCAGATGACCCCGAGAAGGTGGACAAGTGGTTCACTACTCTTAGCCACGCCGAGCGCAAGACCACGCGCCTCCACTTCTACTTCCACGACACGCTCTCAGGGAAGAGCCCCACGGCGGTGCGCATCGCCGAGGCCCCGATGACCGAGAAGTCCCCAACGCTGTTTGGGTTGGTCAACATGATCGACGACCCACTGACCAAGGGGCCCGAGCCAGAGTCGCCCCTCGTGGGCCGAGCTCAGGGGTTCTACGCCTCGGCCGGGCTCGAGTCGCTTGGCCTGCACATGAACATAAACCTCGTATTCACGAGCCCGGAGTACAACGGCAGCACTCTGAGCATAATGGGCCGCAACCCGGCGTTCGAGACCTATCGGGAGATGCCCATCGTCGGCGGGACCGGCGTTTTCCGGCTGGCAAGCGGGATCGCGACGGCGAAGACGTACTTTTTCAACCTCACCACCGGCGATGCGGTAGTTGAATATAAGGTCGTAGCTATGCATTACTAGACACTAAGTTGATATATCGTTGCTTATGTTGTAGTCCACTTTTTTCTTGTTTTTGGCCTTTGATTTTGTGTGGTCCAAAGGTTATGTACGGGGTAATTACATCGTTGTAGTCATGTGTGGATGTACTGTCGTTTCCAATTTGGTAATGCTCTACGTGCTTTGTGATTTTTCATTGATTTTGGTGGTTTGGAATCTTCTTGTGTGGCTTTAGATGAGCTAAATTGGACTCGGCTTATCACTGAGTAGGTAACGTACAATGTTTGCCGCCTCGTGAACATAGAACTTGCTGAAAACGTCAATGATTTTTCCGACAAACAAAAAAGGAAAACGTCAATGATTTTACCCACCTAATAATTATGAAATTTGATGCAGTCGACGTGAATTTTTATTTTAATATTTTGGAATTCCTATTTTAAAATTACTGAAACCCAAGATTATGCATTGAATGGTTTCGATACAAAAGTTGTCTCACGGTAAACTCAATCAACCACCTAACACTAATATTCAGTGCTCTATGTTTGTTCATCTTAATAATTGGAATAGGTGCGTTTGAACTCGAATGATGCGACACGACACAGTTCGACCTTGAGACAAGACATCGAATGAACTATTTGTTCCGGCCCTAGCACGTAACTACTCGTTCATCCAACAATAAAGAAATAGAAAAGAAACTTCAACGCTTCATTCATTTTGCGAAAAATGAATGATTTGAAAAATATTTTCCTAAAAATGATCGCTTTTATCGCTTATAAAATAAATGAAAGAAAAATATTTCCATCATGCACGAAAATATTTAAACATAAATTGTTATCGACAATAAAAATATTTTCCATTGATTAATTATTTCAAGTAATATAAACAATTATTTTAAGATTAATATTTTCTAAATTATTAATTTTTAATTAAACAAACGCACCATAAGAATATTTCAAATTTGCTATTGGGGTTGTTGCCCAACGTTTTCAGCTTCTTCTTTTTCATTCATCAAAATCCAGAGATATGATCGTAATTAGCTGGTTATATATCTGGAAAGGAACTAACACAACAACTCACCGTCATGACCCCCCACTTAATTTTGGATTCTTCAAATCAGAATCGAACGCACAACCATCCGATTTTTGAGCCGTAGCATAGAGAAGTGATTAAACAATTATAATCGACATTCGCTATTTAAACAAAGGCTTCCATGACTACCACCCCCTCACGCTTAAAAAAAAATTGTACAGAAAAGAAAAGTGTATCGTCAACATTCCCATTGCACGACTAGATTAGAAGATGATGTGAGGGAGATAGTGCTAATCGACCGAACCAACATATTTTATTGGTTTGAGAAACTTTACTACATACCATTGCAAATATCCAATTATTGGGTCCTAAGCGTGAATCACGACATTTCATTACTTCCGATTGAAATCATGAACGTTGATGTGAAAGGGTAGAGTATATTGGAAATTTTTTTTTATCTTAATAAGCATTGCCATTGATTAGGGCATCACTTTGTATTTGCGAAAAACGGGCTATTACAATATATTAGACAATGCATGAAAACTTAAGTACAATTGCATAACCGAATTATGTTCGGCTTTACACATCTCGGTCTAGTAAAAATGTGGTAGTACGGCTTACTATAGGCATAGTGTTCTAGTAGTGACAGGTGATAAATGGGCTCATTAGACGTGACTATATTGAAATGGCTAAGGTCCTCTGTCCATTTTCGGCCTAATTTTAAAAATAAAAAAAAAACAAAACACCAACTTCAGCTTAAGTGGCAATTTTGGCATGAACTTTTTTGTGTCTCTTAAAAATCACCAACTTTCATTATAATCCAAAATCTGGCCCATTTGACTAGATGGATTAAAAACACTATTTATTGTCTTTTTTTCTGAGTCACAGCTTGGAAAATAACGGTGAAATTGTTCATGGTCTCATTCGCTTCACCGGCAAGTAAAATAGATCTCTAGATTGAGTTTTTCCGGCCAGCCTCCACCATTTCGTTGTAATCTAGAGTTGTGGACCACCACCCATCGAGATACGTCATGGACGAGATCCGCCAAGCTCATTACCGCAACCTTTTTTTCTGAACGAACCCAAGTCCTCCCCCTTGAAACTTCGAAGTCTACGTCAAATTGACATTAATCGATTGATCTCATTTAATTTATTGGGCTCTACTGATGGACATTAATAAATTGATTTTGTTGGGAAGTATAGGGAAGGAGATTCTAAAGTTGTGTCATGCCAAAGTGCTTGTAACAATCTACAAGATCTCAAGCTTCGGTTAGGCTGCGGCCAGATTTGAGACTCAAGTAAGTTGGTGATTCCTATTGAGACAAAAAAAAAAGTTCGGATCAGAATTGTCACTCAAGGTAAAATTTGTGCTTGTTTTTTTTAATCAGCCTCTCAATTTCCTAACATACATACTCCATTGTTCTATCCATCGAGAACCGTCAAGGTAAAAGGGAGATTGGAGAGGAAGACCTAAGTAAAGAAGTGTTAGGAGTCACCGCACAATTACAAAGAAAATAGAGAGTAAAAGCAAGAAAGAGAATTTGAGATGCAAAGTTTTATCCTTGTTCACTCTTAAATTAGGGCTACATCCAGCAGAGAATTCTACTATAATTAGCACATCGCACCTCTTTATTATATCCCTTAATTACAAGAGAAAGAATACATATATATATATATAGTAGCTATTCACGGGCCCAAACTACTAATAAAACTTGATCAGAATCAAATCTGTCAATTCCACTCACTGTCTATTTGATTAATTAGGTGTCGATTTTTTGGAAATCTATATAATGGATTCGGCCGCTAATAAAAAAGCACGACTAATTGGTGATTGCTTTCCACAACTTTCGTTGCTTCTGTCTCTAAAGATGTATTCTTTTCGTAAGTCTTCTTTTTGAGTTCATTTTCGCCTATAAATTCTTTCCAATAGTATCGTTTTCCCAACAATTTCAGATTGAAAGAGAGATGGCAAAGCTAGGTTTAACGGCAATTGGTGGCGGTGCTCTTGCTCTGGTGGCTATGGTGGCTACGGCCACAACACTCGCCCGTGCTGAGGTGGATGACCCTGAGAAGGTGGACCCGTGGTTCGATAGGCTTAGCCACGCCAAGCGCAAGACCACACGCCTCCACTTCTACTTCCACGACACGTTCTCAGGCAAGAGCCCCACGGCGGTGCGCGTTGCCGAGGCCGCGATGACCAATAAGTCCCCGACGCTGTTCGGGGCGGTCATCATGATCGACGACCCACTGACCGAGGGGCCCGATCCGGAGCCCCCCCTCGTGGGCCGAGCTCAGGGTTTCTATGGCTCGGTTGGGCTCAAATCGATGACTCTACTCATGGACATGAATCTCGTGTTCACGAGTCCAAAGTACAACGACAGCACTCTGAGCATATTGGGCCGCAACCCGGCGCTCAAGACCTATCGGGAGCTGCCCATCGTCGGCGGCACCGGCGTTTTTCAGTTGGCGAGTGGAATAGCGACGGCAAAGACGTACTTTCTCAACCTCACCACCGGCGATGCGGTAGTTGAATATAATGTTATAGCTAGGCATTACTAGACACTTCGGACATTGTGTTGGCTCATGTTATGGTCCACTTCTTCTCTCATTTTGACCTATGGTTTTATGCGGGCCAAAGGTTATGGGGTAATCATATCGTTGTAGCTTATGTGTGGATGAGGTGTTGCCCTTCATTTGGTAATGCTCTCTACGTGCTTTTCGATTTTCATTGATTCGTGGTGGAGATTGAATTTGGAGTTAATGGTATCTTTTCCTGAGGCTCTGGGTGATCTAAATTGGACTCGCTTTATCACTAGAAGAAGGTAGGTGATATGCAAGTTTCGCCATCTTGAAAAATAGAACTTGCTGAATATGTCAATGATTTTACTCCACTCAATAATTCTGAAATTTGAAGCAATCGACGTGAGAATTACTTTTGTTTCGGGAATTTCGTATTATAGGATTACTGAAACCTAAGATTGCTCAAGGATTTGGTTTTCCGTATGAAAACTGTCTTCCTGCCAGACTAGCTAAGCACAATCAAACCCGTTAACAATAATATCCAGTGCTCTATGGCTCTTCAACTTAAGAATTGGAATAGATGCATTAAAGATAAGAGAAACTGACACAAACAGTTCCTAAACTTCTACTTAATATGCAATACTTGAACTTTCAATGCGTTCAATGTGATCCTTGAATTATCCCTAAATGTTCAATCTAGTCCATTGAATTTTCATAAAAAAAAGTCTAAAGTTCTCATAATTACATTATTGCTCGGATTTAGAATATCTTTCAATCTCAATCTATTTCCTAAATTAACAAAAAAAAATATGGCTATTCTTTTATCACTTTTTAACCTTTTTGATTTTTATAAATATTACGATAGTTTCATTTAAGTGTACTTTAGCTTATAATATCTATAATAGGAAAAGTAGAACCTCTTTTAGAATTGAATTGGGTTGACATTCCTGCTGTTTTAATTTCCCAATAGATAGATTTAACTAAATTTTGTTAAGAAAACACGAAATACAAAAACTTGATAATTGTATTAATATAAAAATTAGGAACAAGATTTAGATTAATATAAGTATGTCAATTCTATAGATAAATTAATATAATAATTAAATATAATTATGAAAAAATTTATATAAAAAATAAAGCAATATGAATCCGATAAAACTCTAAATGAGGTTAAATTTCTACTAGTGTAGAGATCATAATTCAAATTATGCTTAGATGGAATTATAGTAATATTTAAAAGACTAAAAAGGTAAAAATGAAAAAAAATAAAAACATAGTATATTTGTTGTTGATTTAGAAAATGGATTGAAATGAAAACATACTCTAAAATTTGGGTAATAGTTTAATTATGAAAACTCGTGACTATTACTGAACAATTGATTTTACTTTGTTATGAACAGTTGAGGGACTATATTGAACAGATTGAAAGTGTAGGGACTATATTAAACATTTAAGAATAGTTTAAGGACTAAATTAAACAAATTAAAAGTCCAAAATAACATTGTACATTGGACCAAAGTTTATGAACTAATTGTGTCATTTTCCTACTCATTACAAGTCCAACCTGAAAGCTTAAATTAATAGGTGAAGGGATTTGAGTTTACATCTGTAATTATGATTACGACCTGATACACTGAATTTGTAGTGGGGTTGAATTCAATTGCTAAATCATCGTCATTCAATTAGGCATGTGTCATCGAGTATTACCAGCTGTAAATTCGCAAAGTGCACATGTTTTGGATCCGTGAGTTAAATTTCTTGTCCTGGTCTGCTCCTTTTAATATCTAGGCCCAAACAGAGGATGCTCCCTAATATTTCCGACTCTTGGAGTGAAAAGTTTTGAGCGACATGATCCGTGAACATCACAGCCAAAAGGAAGCAAACTCACAAGTGTTGAAGTTTCCATGATCTAAATTTGCATTTTGTCCCTGTTAGATCATGACTTAATAAGATCAAGTGCTAAGGTTGTCTTTTGTTGCCTTTCTGCTTTGCAATGATTCCTCGTTTTTTCGCGCATGACTTCTAAGCCCAAGTCGGATGTCAACATCATAGATCATAAATAATTATTCGATTTCCAAATTCTTAATTACAGATATCACAAGGAGAATCATCATATTAGAAACTACAGTATTGTTTTTGCTTAAATTGCTTTACAGGAAATTTAAACACACTCTTCAATAGAATCGTTGACAAAATCCTAGTATACCATTCATAATTAGAAACTTATCTCTAGGACATGATAGACTTTTCAAGACACCAAGCTTCCGATTGACTAAGGGCCTGTTTGGTTCAGCTTTTGAGAAATGTATTTGGCAAAATGCAAAGACCTTTGAGTTAAAAGAGTTTTTCGAAATGCAAGTAGTGTTTGGTAATGTGTATTTTAAAATCACATTTGAAAGCAATTTTGGCCTAAATATCGTTTGGTAAAAATTATTTTTAAAAAAACTTTTGCTGATATTTAAAAAAAAAAAAAAAGATGGCTATCGACCACCACCGCCGGCCACCACCGCCGGCCAGATCTAGTCGCCGGCCAACCGCCGACGACCAGATCTGGTTGCTGGCCAGCCTCGCCTGACCTCAGGCGAGGCGCCTTGAGGTCGTGCGACCTCAGGCGGCGTCGCTTGGGGGTCGCGCGACCCCCAGGTGGCGGTCGTCGGGGCGCCTACCCTCAGGAGGCGGTCGCCGGCCGCCGAACTAGCTGCTTGGGAAGAGGTGAACGATACCGATTACATTCCGAAAATGCAACTTGCCAAGGCTCCTCATGAGCTCCATTAAGCCAAAGACCCTGGAAAGCTTTGGAGATGCAATTGCATCTCCTCAAAGTTTGCCAAAAAATTTGCCAAACAACTTTGCATTTGCTCAAGGGACTTTAGACCCCCAAAGCAGCTTTCAAATGCTGAACCAAACAGGCCCTAAGTATGAATTTCACAGTCGGCCAAGATCCGGATAATATTCTTGAGGGACCTCTTCTTATCAGTTGCTTGAAATTCTGACCCAACTTATAAGAAACTCAGAGATATCTTAGCATAAATAAAAGATTTAAAGGGATAATATAGCTAATTATCCACCCCAGAATCAGAGGGTAATATTCCATCAATTGCGCAATCAGGTGGTCCACCACAATCATATTCCAACCCAATACGTCCAAATCCCCCAACTAATCATCCATATTTTTCCTCTTTGAGCGCTTAATTTTAACATTAAATCCGGGCCGTAGCTTACACGATGTCTAAGTCTAACTCCATAAATTAATTCATACCTGCATCAGCATCACATTAGGCATAGGACCCATCGGTGGTTAGGACAGACGTGTAATACCAAGGAACAAGAATCAGTTTCCAAGGCAGCCAGAAGAGAGAGTTTGAGAAGTCAAACTTAGGAGTTCGTCTTCCTTGTATCAGGCATGGGATCTGAGATCTCGAAGCAGATCCAGAGAAGGAAGGATGTGCTGCGAGAGGCCAAAGTCCTGAGGGATCTCATCGAAACCTGTGGGACGCAATTCCCCGGTTGCGACTACTGCTGTTTGGATAGGAAGAACTGGATGAACGGTCTCGATCCCGAAAAGCTTCCTCTTTTCAAGATTGTCTGGCCAGGAACTCATGATTCCGCGACCAACAAGATTGGAATCCGGTTCATGTCTCGTCCTTTTGCCCAATGCCAATCGCTAAGTATCTATGATCAGCTCGTGGGAGGCACTCGGGTGTTTGATATTCGAATCCAGGAGGATCGCCGGGTATGCCACGGAATTTTAGCGACTTATAGTGTAGATGTCGTCCTGAACGACGTCAAGAAGTTTTTAGGTGAGACAAAGTCCGAGATTATAATACTAGAAGTCCGAACTGAGTTTGGTCATCAGGACCCGCCTGAGTTTGATCAGTACTTGGTGGATCAGCTCGGGGAGTACCTGATCGGCCAGGATGAATGTGTTTTTTGTAAGACGATTGCGGATTTGTTGCCGAAGAGAGTGATTTGTGTCTGGAAGCCTAGGAACTCGCCCAAACCACAGGCGGGAGGCCCATTGTGGAGTGAGGGTTATCTGAAGGATGACTGGATCAATACCGATTTACCATCAACCAAGTTCGATAGCAATATGACGCATTTAGGTGAGCAGCCGCCAGCTTCCACGAGGAAATACTTTTACAGGGTCGAGAACACAGTAACGCCGCAAGCGGACAATCCGGTTGTGTGTGTCAAGCCGGTCACTAATCGCATTCATGGATATGCTAGGCTATTTATATCTCGTTGCTTCTCTAAAGGGCTGACTGATAGGTTGCAGATCTTCTCGACGGACTTTATAGATGGAGATTTCATAGATGCTTGTGTTGGCCTTACATGTGCAAGGATTGAAGGGAAAGCCTAAACAGTGCCATTTTATGTGTTCAGTTGTCTCTGTGAAGCTGATTGTCCATTTGTCTCAGGTTCACTTTTGTACACTTGATAGTATAGACTCTTCGTTGTCCACGCAGATATTGACAGTCTGTTTTCAATAGGGTTGAAGTGTACTAATGTCAGTTACACTTGAAACTCATACAATGTCTTTCTGTATGTTAATTTAACTTTCAAAACTTGGGATGAATGCCTTAACTAAGTAAATCCCTCTGCTTTTTGAGTTTTCCTAGACTTGTCCTTGTTTTTCACGGTATTTCCCGAAAGAAATACAATTTCTAAACATTGGAAGACAGTTTTCAGGACAATGATTTCTACTGACGGCTATGAGCCTCCTTCTCAAGCTCAATTCCTTCTTTGAAAATGTCAAGGTGCTCAAATTATCATGCATGAACAAACTGAATCAGCTAAACTACCATGCAAATCACCACGTTCGTTTAATGAAGCACCAGTTACTGTTGGAAGATTTTTAGTACCGGATAGAAGAAAGAAGAATTCTAGATGAGGCAACATCATGAAAGGGTTGAGAAGTTCACAATATCGGTGTTGGTGGGAATCACTTCCTGGATTGGTGATATGATCTGCATGGAGAATGGAAACAATCCCGTTGCTGATAGATTAAAGCAACGTAGTTAGGTTGAGGACATGTCATAACAACAAAGAACTAGGAATTCAATTCTGCATATTGAACGGTTTCAGATGAAGATCCCAAACCAGATGGAGAACAGAGAATATCACCAGTAGATCAAGTCTTGAAAATTTATTGGGTTGGAGATTTGAGAATCCTGTTTGTATCAAGATTTTGTGGCTGATGATTCGTATGGAACTTTTGAAAAATGCATATACTGATGAAGGCCCTTTATTTCCGAAATTTGGAAACCTGATCCTTCATTGTGAAACAGCCCTGAAGTGAAAGCCCCTGCTTACAATGAATTTGGTTTCAGTACTTAAGTTGTTCTAATAACTACAAGAGTCCTTTGAATTGCGGACAAGCTGCAGTTTACAAGAATATCACAGTAAAGTGTTTCCTGAAAAGACGTTCTTCAAATAGGCAGATGGTGAAACAGAGAGCTTGTGCTGTCAATGTAGTTCTATCGATTGCATCTCTCTGCACACTTTATAAAATGATGAGGGAAAGCTGGAATGAATGATCGTCCATTGACTTTCTCTAAATCAACGCATCCTAAGATACACTCAGAATGCAGCACCAAGTCTGTTGTCCCAATATGTCCTAGCCATTTGCTCAAACACTGGGCATGGCAAGAGCAAGGACGTTAACACGGAAGCAGTAAAGTTTAATGAACGTGTACAGCCAAAAGCTAGGTTGCGCGAGTTGTTGATTACTTATGCTCATTCCATCGCGATCCAATCCCTAAGGGTGCGAATGACAACATTTCTCTTTCCCGGCCCTATTTCTGGCTAGAAATTAAAAAATCTTCTCTTTCCCGGACGAGTTTCTGAACAAAAAGTAGTGTTTAATAACTAGACAAAATTTCTGTTCCCGGAATAGAAATTCGTTTGATAATGACGCAAAATTTCTATTCCCGCCGACCGGTGAGCGGCAACGGCAGACGGCCGGCAAGTGGCAGTGGCGACAGGCGATGGCGGATGGCCAGCGGGCGGCCGGCAAGCGGCGGTGGCGACAAGCAACAGCGGCTGGCCAGTAAGCGGTGGGCAGCAAGCGAGCGGCGATGGGGGCAGCAAGCGATAGTGGACGGTCGGCCGGCGAAAGGCGGTGGCAGACGACGGCCAGCGAGTTGTGGCAACTGGTGATGGCGGATGGCTGGCGAGCGGCGGGCAGTGGCAGGGGGCCGGCAAGTGGCGAGCGGGCGGACGGCCGGCTAGTGGCCAGCGGCAACGACGGCCGGCTAGTACGGCGCTGCGCAGACCGCAGCGGCGACGGCGGTGGACGGCCGGCTGACGAGCGGCGGCGGGCGATGGCGGTGGCCAGTCGGAGAGCGGTGGCGGGTGGCAACGAGTGGGCGGCAAGGGTGAGCAATAAAATAGAATTGTTATTTCTGTTTCTATTCCAAATCTATTTCTGGGCCAAAATTTATCCCAAAAATAAAAAAAACGAAATTATTTTACCAAACGGATTTCTGTTCTAAACCTGTTCCTAGAAAAAAAAATAGAAAAATAAGAAAACGGAATGGTTATCATATTCGCGCCCTAATTGTTTAAATGCTACAGCATTCTTTTCAAATGAGCCGAGACCAAATAATTCGGGGGGGATCCATGATGGTACACTGGCCAGCATCAACAAGATTCAAGAATACTATATTGGTGGGAAAACCAAAGAACTTGCATAGAGGCTCCTGGTTGGAGTTTTTTAAAATGTATGTAGTTCTGCCTGTAGTAAAGAGTAAGTTAAGTTGCTCAAAACTTATTTTCACAACTTCACTGATTGTTTACACAAAAACATAACCAACTCATCGTGATCAACATACGATCAAGGTTGGTCGATCAGAGAAGACTGATCGACAAAAGTGGTCCAAGCCACGGAACGATCGACAACTATATGACATTGATATCTATGCCTACGAAATAGAGTTATCAACAGTTACGTTGAATCGACATCTACAAGTAGTCAAGAGGTATTAAGTGAAACTCATCGACAAAGCAAGCAAGATGCTAGCCATCTTGAAATTTGTCTAAAACTATTGAGGACAAGGGGAGAACACGAGGATCAAGAGGTCAATTAAAGGCAAGGATACATAGTGACGATTAAATAACCCAAAGGCTTTAGAAGTTGTAACCGCTTGTGGATAAGATCGGCGTGCAAATAGGAGAACCGGAATCTCGGGAGTACGTTGTTACCGTACTTAGAATGGTAAACGCTAGCGAAGGGTTGTAATTAGTGGGCTATATAAGTGGCGGCGTGTAATCATGAAAAAATAACATAAACATTAGGGATGATTGGTTTCAGAATAAATCGGTTCCCCATTTGAAACCGGGAGCTGGACAGTACAAGTCCAGTTCCTTGTTCATGGAACTGGGAACCGACCCTGTCAACTCGATAATCGTACCTGTCGGTCCCGGTCCAGTTCCCGGGTTATACCGGGACCGGTTGTGTAGAATTTTTTTTCCTTCTATAATAATACCTGCAACTAAAAAAGTAATTGTAAACACTGATAACATGTTCAATCTTCATCGTCAACCAATATGATGTATGGCAACTTGTCTTCTTTTCCAATTAAGGTGCTTGTCTTTTACGACAAAAGGAACATATTTATAATGGAGGGGAACCCGATTAAGCGTGTTAATGAGGCCCAGGTTTTGCTAATGGGCCTTGTTGCATCACTGCCTGAATAATTTCCTGATTTGTATTAGGAGGCTTGCATTTAAAAGGGATATTACACGAAAATCTTTGCCTTAAGCTGATATGATTTTGGTTTTTATCCCCCATCATAGAGAAAGAGAATTACTGTAATTACACGTCTTTACAAATTACACAAATCAAACCCTTATTATTGCTTGATCGAACGGTTAACCCTAGTTCCAAATTTTAGGAACCAAGAACCACTCGGAATCGGCTGATGCGGTTCCTAGATATGACCTAGACTAGTACTCACTCCTAACAAACACATTCCTATTTTACTTTTTGCAGTTTATTAATATTATTGTCCTTTTATTTTCCATCATTTTTATTTCTAGTGTTTTATCTTCAAGTTCGCTATTTATCTTCATTATCAAGCCGAATTGATTCCTATCTAAAATCACCATAAAACTCCATTTCATTAAAAAAAAAAAAAAAAAAGAAGACAAAAATCAACTTTTGATGAAAGATTGTTCACTGTTTGGGTAACGCACCAATTTTCGGTGAAACACCGCCATTGATAAATTCCGACACACTCAGTAACCGATGTGGCTTATTAATGAAGTGTATAGCACAATTTAACAGTATTGGGTGAATATTCATCCAATCCAATTCCACCAACATGCTGATACAAAAGTTGAAACTCAGTTCTTCATGAAATCTGAGAATGAGAAGACTTCCAAAAAAAGGAACAAAAGCAGCACAGCACCCTCATTCCTGAGAAAGCGAGGGCAATAGTAAAGTGTAAATGTTAAAGATCTCCTAATGTATAGACCATAAAATGAAAAGCAAGACCACAATCTTTAAAGTTGATTAGTGTACAATCAGGACCTTCTGTTCATGCACATTCATTTGAGAGAGACGCAATTCCCTCTTCTTTGCTCTTTGTGGTGGCAGGCTGGTTTGACTTGCGGTTGGGTTCCGTGTTCTAGTTTGTTCTCGCAAGTACCATGTCTTCTCTGTAACTGGAAATTAATCATCTTTTGGATTCAAAATGAATACCGATACGTAGACTAGAAAACACATAGCGATGGTGATGAGAATCAGATGAAGAAAATCACTTTGCGCGCCGTTAAAAACAACTAAGTACAGCACTCACTATTAAGCCAGCATTTAACTGTGTTTGTGTGTATGTGTAGTGTGCATTACTTAAATTAAAGTGAGATCAGCTTGATGCTGTGTATCTAGGCCAAGACCCTACATCCTCGTTAATCTACGGCACAAGGTAGAGGAGACAAAAGGAACGGTGACGAACAAAAGGGGAAAAAAAGAGTGGATAAAGTTAAGCAGCTCCCTTTTGAATCTTCTGAACCGAGGGAACAAGGATAGTTACATTCCTTGAAAGCAAAAACCACAAACGCTCCCCAATTTCATTTATCATGTACACCAATGCAATGAGAGGACAGATAGTATTATAGGAATTTCTCACGTTGCCCAGATGTAGTGGTCCTATTTGTTTAGTAAAGAAGGACGTCAGACTAAGTAACTACATTAGATTGAATTGATTTTTCGCTTCAGAATGGGGCATCATAGGTAGTAGATTGACACGATCCATTCATATCCTAGACATAAAGATAATGACAAGTTGAATTCTGGGCTCTGAACTTTGGCGGGCTTGTCTTCTTTTCTGTCACTGTTGCCTTGCTGAATCCTCATCCATATGGATAACAACAGAACCAGATACGAGAGAAGCTAAAAACAGAAACAGGGCTCTGTTGTTTGATTTTGACGATGTAAGATACAGCATAGAATCAACAAGTTCAAGTGGAAAGTCCACTTGATGAACTTATTAGGTTTTTTTCGGCAGATGCGTGTGATTTTTGGATGTATGATTAATTCGGAGCTAAAGTATGAACATGTACA